CCATCTTCTCTCCGACACCGTCAAATGCCACCGGCCCCGGAGCAGCCCCGCGCCGAGCCAGCCTGCTCGCCGGCCGCTTCTCCCCGCAGCCGCCCCCACCTCGAGGTAGCCCCGCTACGCCCCACCGACGCTCAACCTCGCATCCCTCGGCGCGAAAGGGGAAAACGCCAACGCGAGGAAGCATCGCGGGGACGGGAACAAGCAGCCTTCACCCAACGTTAGCGCCAAGCACGAAGCCCCGGCCGGCAACGACCCGGCTCGCACCTTTCAGCGGGTGCTATTTCCTCTTAAACCGCTCCAATTTTGGCTCAACTGACTGTATATAAAGCACCGCGCGCCTGAAATACGCGCCCTGAACATAGAGCACGATCGTTTCTCTGCCGGTGCGATAAAAAAGCACCGGCCGACTCTACTTATTTCAGCAGAAGCATCCAATTTCCCGTGTTTAGACCAAAATAGCTGAAAGGTATGAATTTGAGCCAGCCGGCGTGGGCAGCCGGTTCCGTCCGCTGAGCAGATGAGCACTCAGCTCATCCGAAGCCAAAGCCAAACCAAAACAAGCTACTCTTCAAACCAAGCCAATGCCCAGAGAGGTGCAAGCCTAAATAAAAGGATATGAATGAGGGCGTACACAAAGCATCTCAAAAAAGTCCATCACACCTGCATTTAAATAGCCCTGCTGAAGCAGGGTTTAAAATAAACTCGGCTCGATCTGGTTGTAGGAGGCAGGTCTCTGGAAGCGTTGCAGACCGCCAGGAAGCCGGAGCGCAGCACATCGTTCTGCACCAAGCCGGCTTCCCCCATAAAGCCCAGAAAAAGGAGGAGAAACACACACCCGCGGCACCGAAAGGAAGCTTAAAGAGAAAACTCCCCCCATCCAACCAGACCTGTCCAACTGTTGTGTTAAAAGACCGCTTTAAAGCCACCCCAGGATTCCTGGGGTGACTTTGACCGTTTGCAGACCCTTCTGCCTCCGGTGAGCTCGCCTGGCACTGGAAGGGCGGCTCGTGGCTGTTCTGCCATAGGGAGCAGCCACGTGCGATACCCACCCAGGCGCTGGGCAGCTTTGCTTTCATCCAAACCGCACCTGACTGAAGGGTAAGCCATAAACAACACGGCGAGGGGACCTGGGCAGGCTGCGGCCAGCGCAACGCATCCACCTCTGCCCACTCCACGGGCAGGAAGAGGAGAGCTGGTTCCTCCTGCAGGGCTCTTGTTTACAAAACCAACGGCACGTCACCACCTTGGCCGAGAGGTGCCAAAGCAACAGCCTCGCTGCCCAGAAAGGGAAACCTGCAACAACCTCGCTGCTCCGAAAGAGAAATCTCCGCTGTGTCTTTTGTGGTCGCTGCAGCATGCCAGATTCACAGCGTTGGGAGGCCGGGTCACCGCACCGCGGCACCCACAGGCATCTGGGGGGGGCGGATTAGTGGGGGCTGACTCAGGCTGAAATGCCCCTGAGTCACCAGCTCTGCTTCCTGTCACACCTATGGGCAACACCCAAGTATCGCATCCAGCCACTGATCCAGCCGGACCCTGCTTGGCTTCAGGGAGCGCCCCGCTGCCCAGCCCCCCCCGGA